CCGCCTAAAGGATTGATGTATGTTCCCCAACTCATTAAAGCGATCAGACAAAATGTCGTTTCAGTTATCTGACTTTGACAAGCTTTAAGGTCTCGTATGCAGACCATACACTGTGAGAATTAGAAATGGTGCGGTAATGGGTCACCTCGAAATCCATCAGAGCTGACCCATCCTGCAGACTGGCTTCGAGCTCTTGCATCGACTGAAGCAGCAATAGAGGGATTTTGACTGATTTCTGTCGGGGTCCGTTGGTAGCCCACTTGGCTCGCTTTCCTGACACTCCCGAGTCAATGGCCAGTGGGCATTCTCCTGACCAGTTTCTACCAGTGCTAGTAGCTGAACCGGTGACATTTACACTGCTCGACTCTCGTTCGCGGCTCCGGTCTCTCTCCCCGTTGTGTTCGCGCTCTTTGCCAGAACTGCCGGCAAATCCGACCCCGAGACGATTCCTGCCTGCCGCAGAGAAGCCATGGCCACTAGTTGCTGATCCGACGGGCAGACTGGCAGTTACGGAGCTACCACGGTGAAAGGCTCCCGGGCCCCCGATGATACCGCGGATCTGTGACTGGCCGACCGGGTCAAAGCTGGCGCCAGTTGGCTTTGCGGTGCCTGAAGAGGAGATGGTAGAGGCCTGGGGAAAAAGTGAGACTCCAGAGTTAAGGTGAAAAGTGGCTGCCGACTGGGAGTAGGAGGGAGAAGAAGTGGCCGAGAAAATTGAGATCTGAGTGGAGAGACCTGTAGGGCCAATTGTGTTTCGAGCCTGGCCGGTGGATGAGGAGCCGGCTAAATAGGAGGTTTGGTGGCCGAAGGATGACCGCGGGGGCAAAGGAGGAGCGTCTCCACTATCGGGCAAATTAGCGCCCTCGATTGGGTCATCGGTGATGTAGACTGAAAAAGGCAAGAGCAGAGTGGAGGCATAAGTCAAAAAGAAATCGTCATCAAAGCTCGTTCAGAAATTGGTATGATAAAGACAAGTTTTGTAGTTGTGAGGCAATTGGGTATTGTGGGACGTCTTGTTTGGCGGATTTTGTGGCTGGTTGTGAATTGGGCCATTGCTGAGTGAAAAATAGATTTCAGCAAGAGAACTTTGCTGGAGGACGCAATATTATGACGTGTAGTGATGAAATGTATACACTGATTTACTGGTAGTCTCAAGACTCTACTTACACGAAAATTAAGTAATGTAGTCGATTGTTATAGCAAAAATACTTTCGCTTCATCGATAATCCCATCAAAGCATGTGATATGGGAAACAGCCTGGCCTTCCTTTAAATTCACATCTGCCCTGTGACTCAAGGGCAGTGGTTAACATTTCAAGCTCACATGGTGAACTGTCACAGTTCGGCTCCCGCTGAGTGTGTTGATAAGACCGAGTCGAGGTCGAAACTGCAGTCCACCCTGGATGAGAAAAACTTTTGGGAAAGCAAGGCTCTGTGAAACGCCAACTCTACTCATATCATTGTGGGAAAATTCTTCTTCTACCAGTCCTTCATCACCTTGAACGAAATTGGGTGAATATTTCTCATATAATGTATAGACTTCCGAATGCGAAACTCTGTACAGTCTCCCTTGGGTTTGCAAAGTGTTGTTTTTCTGTTGAGATAAGATGAAGTGCTTTCTTTGCTTTTTTCTTTTCATCCTCAACTATGTGTTAAACAGGCTCGAATTCATTCTTACATCGCCTGATTCGGAATGACTAACATTTAACCATGTCTGTTTTATTGCATTTTCTATGGATTGGATTTGGAGTTATGGACTCATCTCGCTTATTCATATATATTCCTTACTTTTACTTATAGATGTAAAGTATACGTACTCACAAAATATCTTTTCGATTTTCGTAACCATAGAACTTTTCAAACAGTTTAGTTTTCAGATAAACTCTTCTGGACAGGTTGGCAGGCCCAATCTAGAACATGAATATGAAAATTATCTAAAAAAAGGCTGAGAAAAATGTTAGCCTCTCCTTGTACTTGTTTTGTTTTTACACTTCATTGGTTGTTCGTATATCTTTCTTAAAGCCGACGAAGAAAAATCAGAAGTCTAGTAGATTACTCTCTAAAATAGCTTGTTTCTCATATCCTATCTATTAT